TAATAGAAATGCATCTTAAAATTTTTATTTCGCGATCCTTGAATAAATATAATCCAAAGCAGCGATCATGCATTATTTTGGCTACTATCGATTAAATCGATAGTTTTTAGTCGATGGTGCCCATCACTACTTTGTTTAATTATTTTTCATATTGGAAATAACAGTCGAGCTGCTCAAGCTAATGGCGCCACCTTAAACATGTTCTTTCGAAACGGAGTACAGAGATGGCGTCTTCATGGAATAAATCGTAGTGATCCTATATAAATTAGATCGTATTATTACAAATTATTTTTTTAAGATCCATGTAAACTCTTAATTTTATATTTCAGGACGAATAAACACTATAAAAGATTAGAATTATATAATAGCAGATATCTTTTTTAGTTTTAACATTCATCTTTTCCTCGGTGTATTTATTATATTTCATACATTTGAAAATCGGCGCTATTGTTTTTAAAAATATCGAACCAATCAGAGAGTCAATGCGTCGTGCCTTTACTTCTTTTTAGAGGGTCACCAATGGATCACCGGCTTATTGTCAGTATACCTTTTAATTCAAAAAATAATTTCACGAATTTTCAGTTATACATATTGCACCAGCGTAATGGAGCATTGAAGAATATTAATAATTATACTCATGATCTTTACGAGGGAGAACGTAATTTGTAAATGTGTTCGCATGAGGATATAACATGGTGTGCGCTATACATTTTTAAACGTGTACGTGGGTTTTGCACGTGCAGGAGAGAGTTTCCAACAGTCGCGCCAATGCTGTCGGTAGCAGCAAGGTGCTTGCTCGTGCGCATCACGGTATTATCTAAATTTCGTACGCCATAGTTTTAATTCTCGGTGTTTAAAACACGGTATTTCTAACGAACGAGTTGCATCGATCAGAAACGATGGGAACGTCATTTTGCGAAATTAGAAAGTACACGCTGCTTGCGAAATCGACTACATGTTTTATATTTTTGATCGGTAAAAGTTGAAGCTCGAAGTTGAAGGAAATATCGTTAGCGTGTGTTTCAATAATAATTCTCTTATCAATTGAACAACACTGATCTGTAATCGAGCGATTTTTCTGTTTTGCTGTTTCAAGATAGAAATGTTCGACGTTTCAAAAGCGGTTTGACAATTTTGAGACCCGGGAAAAAGGAGGGCAGAAGCGAAAAGTAGCTCGATAACAACGGATCAGTGCTCGAAGAGACGTTGCATGAGATGTTGGCCGTTTGATCGCCGCTTCGAAGTCAATGTCGAGATACATGGCCGCAGGACTCGCAGGTAGTCGCCCTCTATCACGCCGCTTCTCTCACACATAAAGAAGATCGTACGTGCGCGTGTGCGATGCTTCTGAGTGTTGGCAGCGGTAGTTGGTATGTAGTAGTAGTCGCGGCCAGTCGTGACGCTGCCGAGAGCAGCTGAGGTGCGTATACGCTGTGCTCTCCGCTCGCGGTCCCTTGTGTTTCCACGTTTATCGTCGTAAATTCGCGTGTTCTTATCAACAGCGAGTGATAAGAAAGGATTTAAAGAGAAGCGAAATTGTGGGTGTGACTCGGCGATGTAAGAAAACTGCGGCGGCCTTGGCAGGACGGTGAGTGACCTTTTCATTTTTTAATCACTGGCTGCTAGGTATGCGTACGCCGCTTGCCCGGTGTTTCCACGCGTGTTCGGTCTCTTCTCACGGGAAAAATAGCTTGTTAATTACCGAGACAGCGAGCAGTGAACTACAATACTCTCCTCGAACCCTTTCGAGTTCTTACGTTCCTTTCTTTTCCTCGCACGCATCGTCGTATTTTTACAGAATTCAAAAGCAAACTCGAGAATGCGGTACGCGTCGTCTCATTTCCAGTGTTCGGTTCTAGGAATAAAAAGTGGCAAGACCCGAGTGGCTCTTATTATGCACTGTGAAAATTCTTGATATTTAAATACGCATACAATGCGTTTTACTTTTTTAGTCGATCGCCTTCCTGTATTCTACCTGCGTCTGGTTCATAAGCATAATATATGGCAGAGTATATGGAAGTGTTTGATCGATTCAACACGCGACACATTGGCGTCTTTCTGTCGGCTGCACGCAGCTACGTGTCTTTTTTACAATAAGAACATCTCTGAAAACTCACTTTGATTTACCGTCAAATTATAGTTGATAATCCGTGAAGGGAGATTTTATTCAGAGCATATTCAAATGCTTCTGTTTGAACTTCATATGCTTGACATGAACGCACGGGTTTATGAAATTTTCTGGTTTCGTTCGTGGGGTAGAGAACCGAGTAAGTAATTGAATTCTCGATAAGAGGTAAAAGTCGTAATGCGAGTAGAGGAAGACTGATAAAAAGTGGAGGGCGAATAAAGAAGCCGAGAAATGCTGCGCGTGTTAGAAAAATTTCGATACGCCGCTGGGTACACGAGCACGAGGGTTACTCAGTCTCGTTTTCCCCGAGTTGGCGAATCAATATTTGGAGGGTAAGCGTCCCGACTGTCGGCGTCGAAGCTGCGGAACGTGAGTCACTCACCCCTGATTGCGAGGGAGAGCGAGAGAAGGATGACTTTTCTCTTTCACCCTCTCCTCGCGGTATCGCGGCTCGAGTAGACTCGACTCGGCTCGACGCGATGCTCTGAAGAAGAACTGCAACACCGAGACGGAAGTCGCCCCTTTCCACCATTACCGTGTCATCGCGACGGAAATAAATATCGATCGATCTTTAACCCCTGCGGTATATTTAATCAATTACTTTCTGGGCTATCCTCTACTGAATTAAAAATTTCATTATCAAACATGCGAAACGTCTTTAAACATATCTTACGGAGGCGAAGTCCATGAATATGCAAATTTTCACTACAGTCTCACCGACGACTTGCTTCAAGTTTTTAATTAGAAGGAAAGGGGAAATGCAAAGGACTCTCGGGGGTAACGATCGCTGCTGAGATTGAGAAATAAACGGACGTCGCGAGATTTCGCGCCGGTTTAATTAAGCTACTTTACGAATTTTTTAATTCCCCGCGCGGTCTTTTACAGAACGGAACGTTAATTTACGACCTTTAAAGACGCCCGTGAACGCATACGAGCGTGAAACGCATGCACCTAACTAAACCCGTTCGAGGGAACAGGTTCCATAAAATTGACCGTTCTTCCGTAGGACTTTTATCTGCAGCTAGCATCTCTCCGCGCATCGAAGTCCCTTCTCAAATTTTAGTCGCCCTTCCCAACGGAAACCGATAATAGAATATTCTTTTCCAAATAACCTCCATCGTTGAATCATAAATAAGGATCTTTAGTATTAAGAATATTAATGCAGTTCACTTTTGCTTTGCGTGTCTTTGGACATCGAATGCATTATATTTTGTGCAGACACAATTTTTCTATGAAATCAATGATCTACTTTTTATTGATAATAGAAGGGTAGTTGTCTGAATTGGTATGAGATGTTGCATTCGGAGTCGAGTGAAAAGAAAGCGAAAGATGATTGTACGATGACTGAACGAAAAGTAGGTATTATGTATTTGTCTTTGGATAGACTATTTGAAGAGAGTGAAAAACGCAGCGCAAGCATGACTAGGGAGATAGTACGAGTGCGTAATGCGACTAAAGTTACATATTGAATATGGAGAAAATATAACGATGTACAAAAATATCGAAAGTGCATAACTGCTTTGAGATTGTATGAGCCGTAAGATCTCTGCTAAAAATCTAATTATAAGACAGGTAATGAAAAGCTGTGTCCAATATTTGAAGCAATGAACGCTAAGAAAAAATGATAATTAGAGAGGAGTAAGTTGTATAAAATTGTTCGACCTGTCTTTCTCGGTCATAAGGAATTTTTAACAAATAATTTCTAATATTTTAATACATAGTTTTGTCATTGTTTTTATGTAAAGGTTCATACATCCTTAATGATTTCTTTATGAAATGCATTTCTTAAATGTTATGAAATTTTCAATAAAAATGTGTCTAACTATTACGGTTTTAAAATGCGCTGCATTTGAGACGGGCTACGCCTATTCGTCTTTTTTCTGATTTTACCGCTTACCGTTATGCGAATATAGTTTCGCTTACATAGTCTAACGGTTGTTATTGTAAGTATCTCGAAACGGAGGTTTCCATTTGATTTTCATGTGAATACAAGACAGTTCAATATCGCGCCATCTAAATCATTAGAAACATTATGAAATACGTGGTACGAATTCAGTGCAATTTTAAAGCTGGATGATTTTTCATCTTGAAATCATCGCAGGATTGCAAATATTTTAATTGCTTCATTAAGAATTAACGATTAAATTTCTCTAAGTCTCAATCGACAATTACAGTCTTTAATTAAGAATTAGAATTCAATCCTTCATTCGAATTTCATCTAATTAAGATAATTAGATAATTTTAATTCGTAATTAGTCAAATCCGAATCAAAAACAAACGTTAATTGCTACTTGATGTTCAATTGAATTAAAGATTTAATCATTTATCTGGAACTCTGCATCATCGCTTATCTTGATATATTTAATTCAAGAGTAAAGTAAGAACGCGTCTAAATAAACGTCGATCTTTTATCTCACTGTTATAACTTTGAACATGGACGATACACGTGTTCTGAAACTTTCCTGAACTTTCCATTTGATTTTCATGCGAGTGTAAGACAGTTTAACTATGATTAACCCATTCGCTGCCAAGGACGAGTATACTCGTCTTTGGTTTTCTGCTTCTAAATGATTATGTATGATAATATATGTGCTCTTACCAAGAAATAACTTGGCAGCGAATGGGTTAATCGGCATTTTATTGATACTGACGAAATCCGACCGTCCCACCGTCCAAACAGCGAACTTTTGACAAAAAATTTCATTTTTCCTCAATAACTCCCAAACCTACGGGAAAATTGTATAGAATCTTTCTTGTAGAGGACGACAAGATCTGCAGTCTACATGTAAGGTATATTTACACTCGCTTATATCGAACGATAGACTATAATTCAAGACTAAAGAAGGGAGGAACGCGTGAACTAAACGTTCATCTTCTATCCCACCGGTGCAACCTTGAACATGAACCGTATACACTGGTTATTGTAATAGGTATGCGGCGTTTCTTGCGTGTCCAAGCTGCAAGATGAAAACGAGAACTAAAACCAAATCTCTGAAGCTGTCGGAGCTCTCCTTTTACGAAAATTATTCCTCCCTAATTTCACAAGAGGACGAGGTCCAGTTATTCCCTGAAAATCGCGTAGAATTCAGTTTTAGGTCGATACATCTGCAATATAAACATTCAAGAAGGCCTTGATTAGTAGACTTCATGTATATATTGAAAAATCAGATCATCAGATTTATAGAAAATGAAGAGTGAAGTACATGTGAAAAGACACGCGTGCCGGGGAAACAGTAAATCGTATTAGCAAGTTAGGTAAATTGCAGTGAACATGCTTTACGTCTTAATTAAAAGTTCAATGAGGGCGACTGGTCTCGAGATAACTCGGTAGTTTGATGGGAACGCGGCGACTAGTTTGGCAGCCGACTATCGGATAATCGTGTTCCTTTATTAAGTCCGAGTCTCGAAAATGGGCGCGCGTCAGAAGAGAAGATAGAGGATAATTGGTGGGCTCGAATTCCAGGCTAGTCTTTTCGTATAATAATTACTAGTCAAATTGGTTCGCAGAATGTAATGGAAAGTATAGGAATCTTACTATTACATAAAGAGAAAATGTTTGTATGTTTGTTTGTATGTATTATGTTTATACATAAATAGTAGACCTCAGATTTTATGCATTTATAAGAAAGTTGAACATTTTGCATAAAAATCCATAGTTTAATAATTCATGCAGACGAAGCTGCTAATACATTACATCTATAACAGTAAACGATTTAATTTAATTCCAAACTTTCAGCAGAATACCTCTGAGAGAAAAACGAACGGTTTACTGGTACGCGGAGCATCATGGGCAATTAATCTCGCGTCGCCGAGAACATAAGTTACAAGGGCAGGAATCTCCACGCGAAAAGATGTTATCGATATCTCGCATTTTCCGGTGCACGGTTAACCGGAATTTAACTCGTCGGTAACGTGTGAGCGGGGAACTAGCCTGGAATATAGAGGTGCGTGCACCGACCACGGAATACCATTACAGGTCGCGTTCCACGGCTACTCGTCCATGCGAAAATCATCGTTTTCGAAAGCGTTATACAATCGTTTTACTCGAAGCGAATAGTGGTAGCCGGGCAGAGATCGATTCTCATCTACCACTGTCAGGCAATTACATTAATAACAGCTGGAGAGGATAGAAACGGCTTCGAGTTATTAACCACTTGAAACTCTCGCACTTTCATCGTGTGGAACAACTAGAAATTTTAATCCGTTACGAATTAAATCTGACTTGGAACGGGCGTAGTAAAATCCATGCGCGTAAAGAGTGCGTTTAGGTCATTTCGCGTTTCGTTGTTGCAATTCTTTTTTCCTCGCAAAATCTTCTCGACGCATTGGTCACGCAGAGTACCGGTTCCTCGGACGTTTAGCCGACGAACGAAGGAAAATGCGCGTTAGGGATGAAGATAACGCAGTAAAACGAGCAACGTGTATATTTTTGAGGCGCAGGAAAGGTCAAAACGAAGCGGTAGAAGGAGAAGAAGAAGAAGAAGAAGCGGGCCCTCCGTCCCGGGGCATCTCTCGTTCCTTTTTTCTCGTTCGAGTCCGCTCGTTTTATTCTGATGGGGAGTGGAGTCCGTGTTCGTTGTCTACCTGCTCGCAGCCGGTTGTGCAAGCGTACGTTCGATTGGTTCATGCCGATGCCAGGGATCGTATAATTTTTCCCTCGGCCGGAAAGTGGGGACGACGCGACCGTGGTGGGGACTGGTACTTGATGAGAGTAAGCTAGGCATGGTCAGCGAAGGCGCATGAGGAGAATAATAGTGGGGATCGAAATACGGGCGAAAAAGAGGGGAAGCGAGCCGTGCGGGAAAAATTATACGATCCCTGGCCGATGCACCATTCGTTTGGATTGGCCAAACCGGATTGGTTAGCCTCCGGGGAAGGAGAATCGCGAGCCGACTGGATCTCTAGGTATCTCGTCGCCGTCTGCTCTTGCTACGGTCAACTAGTATCGGCGACCGGCGCGAGGCGATTCTCTTTAACGCAATAAGAGAAATGGAACGAGGATGCTCATTGCGGATGGCCGTCCTTTGCACCACGCTTTGTACGTTCCACCTTCTTCTTAAACTCAAACCACGTTGCCGTTACTTCTCCTTTCGAGTACCCTACTTTACATATACCCCTGTTTTTAAGCTCGTATGAGCCGTAAGATCTTTGCCAAAAGTTTGAGAATTGTGATGAAAAACTCATTATTTGAACTGATAAACTATCAGGGAAAATTATACTTACAGAGGAGTAAGGTTCATAAGTTTATCTCTCAAAGAATCAAAACGAAATTCGTTTTAATGTTTAGTTTAAAGTATATTGCAAGCTATTTTAGTCATTTTATTCAGGTGTACAAATTAAGAAGGCTTTCTTCCGGAAGGCACTTGATTTTGTCTAATTGTTACCTATTCAGTTACATTCTTTTATTACTTCCGTTACTTCCGAGAATCGTTTGTTACAATTGTGCGTTTTCTTCTACTTCCCTGACCTGGATACCGTTTCGCACATTTTTTGTCGGTCCTAGACCTAATTTCGATTAATTAGCGAAGCAGATTACACTTGAATAGGAAAGAATAATTCTTTAACACTTGAACGTACAGTAAAGTATTGTAAGCTTCGAAGAATGAAAAATAGAAGACTCTCCTTCGTGCTACGTATTTTTCTCTTTTCATCAGCAAGACGGGTATCGAGATTACACGTTGCCGTGTCCTGCTCGAAGGACGCGAAGGATATTCTCAACGCGCAGAGCCTTTTTAGCGAATGACCAACGCCGAATGCAGATTGAGTTTTCAAACGATAAGTAAACGTTGAAAGAACATTGGAAATGCGTAAAGATGCGAGTTTCATGGCAAGTCGGACGGAAGACAGGGTCAACGGATTTAGTTGTAGAAGGGAACGAAGGCAAGGGTGAAACGAACGGAAACAGTGCTGTTCCCACGTTTTGCGCCGGATTGATATCGCATTCTCACACTCGCGGGAGAAGCTTGCAAGAAAGTGGTAGATCCAGAGCGTTTTTCATTCTACGTGACGAGTGAAATCCGACTAGGTGGAAATCGAGATTATTAAGTTTCCAATCGATGCTTGTAGGATTCGTCAATAAATCGATTTTATACGTTTATAGAAAAACGAATGAATGTGTAAGGATTATATCGTGAGTTTCATGCATTTATAAAAAAGTGAATATGCATTAAATATAAATACTGCAGGTAATGGATAAAAGTATAGAATTAAAAGCAGAGTGCATATTGCAATATTTAAATGAAGGAGGAAACAGTTATTTAAAACACATTCTTTAAACTGGTGTCATAATTATTTTATTTTGTACAAAAATCCGCAGTCTAGTAATTTTCTGCACAAATCTTTTTGAGCTTTAAATAAAGTTTGACTAGTTTTTACAGACAGTAACTTCGTACGCCTTCTTCCACGTAAGATGAATTATTCAGGCGTTCTCCAGATCGGTCGTTCGTCTCTTGCTTCTAATTTCAAGATAACAAAGTCAATTATTAACTCGACTCTCATGTACTTTTAAAACTACTAAGAATTAGTAATTTTTATTTTAAAAAATCATTTCGTTGTATTTGAATATTACTTTTAAGTTAAAGAATTTAAAGAGTAATGAGCTCGAAAAAAGTCGCAGAAGGGTGAAACCCTAATTCATAGGCGAAGTGCAAGTTAACGATCCGGTGCATTGAGCGAGTTAGAAAGGGTGTAGAGGGTCAATGTCTCCCTTTTGCAGATGGAAGACCGTGGAAGTGCGCGTTGAACGAGCCGCCGAGAGAATCGGAGACAATGGGACACTTGTCTGGGAGGGAACACGAGACGAAGGAGCGGACGCTGTAAGAGGGTGGGTGCCATGGCGAGATGGAAATGGATCTTGCCGTTGCTCGCGGCTCTATGGACCCTGACCGACGCCTATTTAGCGGTGCTCTCGTCGAGCACGCCGCCCGGGACCGTCATCTTCGAGGCAGGTGTGCCGCAGCTGGGCGGCCGTCGAAAGTACGAGGTGTCCAACGAGCGAACCGCGTGGTTCGCGAGGAAACTGCTCAAAGTGCACCCTCACACTGGCCGTGTGACTTTGGCGCGGCCGTTGAGCTGCGATGGTCTCCAGTATCCGCGGATCTTCACCTTTTACGTGGATTCCACTAGCTCCAGGCTCGGGAGACCGACGATAGATTATTACAGTTTACCGCTTAGGATTTTGATCACTGGGTGCGGGGGAGAGAACCGAGATTTGGCTGCTACCAGAGGATGGATGGCAGAGACCTTGGCTTCTTACGCGATGCCCAGCACCGAGAGGTGGGATTTAATTCCCTTATAATTTATAAATCAGTTCTATACTTATTCAATTATTTCTTTAACTAAGTTTTATGACGGTCTGAGAAACACTTACGGATTTTTACGTCTCTAAAATAAACCCCGACTTTTATTTTTTAAATTAGTTGTACTGCAATGTATTAGTCTGCTATAATTAAGAACTTGCAAAGTTAATGTCAGAGACGTCAGATTTTCTGATTTCATTATGAGACAGGTTTCCTCGCGGTAACTATACACGGTCACGGCCCTTGATTTTATCAGTAGCGCAACGGTAACAGCGATAACGAGAATTCACACGCTCTTCTTCTTTCTGGTTCCACGACAGGTTCACTGAGGTTTGCCTTAGAACGTCGCAGCTGGTTGCCGCGCTACGCGATTTCCTTCCTCAGACAGCGTCGAAGGAGTGCGAGACCAGATGGGGCGGCGTGGCCGATCCGAGGTTCCTGATCGAGGGCGCGGCGGGCGATTTAGTCTCGGCTACGGAGCAATGTCTCGTGGATCCTCTCTGGAAGATATCCGTGTCCATGAGCTTGAGATGCGGCATGGAATCGCGGCTGACCGACGCCGAGCACCGTCTCAAGATCGTCTTTCACCATCGCCAGTTAGATGACACAGATTTAGGTAGACGAGTACGGAGAGAATTGAAAAACCAATCCCCGTACTTCGAGCAACCTTTGTATGTCGCCGCGGTCGAGGAAGAAAAAGAACCCGGCGTATACGTCACGTCCGTTCGGGCCAGGGACCCGGAAGGTGGAACCGTTCGCTACTCAATGAGCTCATTACTGGATGCCCGATCGCAGTCGTTATTGGTCCTCGATCCTGTCACTGGAAGAGTTACCACCAGAGCCAGGTTAGACAGGGAGAGCGTAGACGTTCACTACTTTCGAGTGCTGGCCGTGGACGATTCGTTTCCTCCGAGAACAGGCACTACCACGTTGCAGGTGAACGTATTGGATACGAACGATCACGCGCCGAGCTTCGAGTGGCCGGAATACGATGCTTCTGTCAGGGAGGGTGTACCGGTGGGCTCAACGGTCGTTACGGTCAAGGCGACTGATCAAGACGACGGTAGAAACGCAGAGGTGGAATATTCAATTTTATCGACGACGACTGGCAACGGAATCGAGAGCACGGAAGATGCACTGACCTTCAGGATAGATCCGAGAACAGGCGTGGTAACCACGCGGACGCCTCTTGATAGAGAGAAGACGGAGATCTATACGGTGATTTTGAGTGTGACTGATCAGGCGACTCCACCATCTGCGAGGAAAACTGCAAACGCTACGCTGGTGATTCGAGTGTTGGACGATAACGACAATTATCCTCAATTTACCGAGCGCACTTATTCTGTTTGGATTCCGGAGGACCTAGACTATACGGCGAATCCGGTGATAGCTCGCATACGCGCGACCGATGCAGACTCAGGGAACAACGCGGCGGTCCGATATGCTATAATCGGTGGGAACACTCAGACGACGTTTTCTATAGATTCTATGAGCGGCGATGTTGCTCTGGTAAAACCATTGGATTACGAATCCACCAGGAGCTATAAGATAGTGATACGCGCTCAGGACGGTGGTTCACCGGCTAGATCGAACACCACTCAGTTGCTCGTGCATGTGAAAGATGTCAATGACAACGCGCCGAGATTTTACACCAGTCATTTTCAAGAATCTGTCTCGGAGAACGTGCCCGTGGGATACTCGATGCTGAGGATACAGGCGTACGACGCTGACGAGGGCGCGAACGCACAAATTAAATACACCATTGGTGCTCGGGACTTTACTGGAGCTTCCACAGAGAATTTTCCCATAACTGTTAATTCGGAAACTGGCTGGATTTACACAACAAAGCAGCTCGATCGCGAGCTGTGTTCTAGGTAATTATTCAATTATATTTCTAAATGCAACTTTTTTAACATTGGATCAGATTAATTGTTTTTTATGTTTGGAGACCTAGCTTCCTGGAAAAAATTTTTTTTACTTTTCTTCGCGACTAATATCACTTTTCAAAGAAATATTGCATTTAAAAATTGCAAGTTAACAATTGCATTGCGTTTCGTTTTTATCTATCTAGATACCAGTTCACCGTGATTGCCGCAGACTCGGGCGAAGTACCGAAATCTGCGAGCGCTACAGTGATACTCACGGTGACCGACGTGAACGATAACGATCCTTACTTCGACCGAAAGAACTACGAAGCCGTGGTATCGGAGGACGACCCGCCAGGCACGCCGGTTACTTCCGTTACGGCGACTGATCCTGACGAGGACGCCAGGATACACTATGAGATCACCGCAGGCAACACGAGAGGCCGATTCTCGATCGCCTCTCAGAACGGTCGAGGTCTGATAACAGTGGCTCAGCCGCTGGACTACAAGCAAGAAAAGAGATTTGTTCTAACCATTACGGCTTCCGATAGCGGGGGTAGAACCGACACTGCTCTCGTTTACGTTAATATATCGGATGCAAATAATTTTTCACCGGTTTTCGAGAACGCGCCTTACTCGGTGTCCGTCTTCGAAGACGCACCTATCGGCACGACAGTTCTAGTCGTAAGCGCCACGGATTCGGATGTAGGAAAGAATGCTCAGGTCACGTATAGCTTGGATAGCGACGGTGGAGACCAATCAGTGTCTGAATTCACGATCAACCCGCAAACTGGAGCCATTACCACCACTCGACCACTCGATCGCGAATCGGTGCCCGCATATTTATTAACTGTTACTGCGAGGGATGGAGGCGTGCCCCCGTTATCGGACACCACCGATGTGGAGATATCCGTTACGGATGTAAACGACAATGCTCCAGTTTTTGAGGCCCCTCAATATCAGGGTTCTATTCCGGAGGACGTGTTAATCGGTACCAGCGTTTTAAGAGTCTCCGCTACAGATGCTGACACGGATCTCAACGGCAGAGTAAGTTTCTTTTAATCTGTGCTACCGGGAGTAGTTATTTTTCACAATTTTCAGATGTGTCCGAAAATTAATGCGAGTTATTGTATGTTAATGGCTGATACAGGTAAGGTATTCGTTGGAAGACGACGGCGATGGAGCCTTCGCGGTAGATTCGACTACGGGAATCATCAGAACGGCAAAACCATTGGATAGAGAGTCTGTGGCGAGGTATACGCTGAAGGCAGTCGCTATGGACAGAGGTTCCCCATCGCTCTCGACTGTAGTGCCAGTGACCATAAAAATAGAAGACGTAAACGATTCTCCTCCCGCTTTCGAGAACGATAAAATCGTCCTTTACATAGCTGAGAATTCTCCGATCGGCTCCACGGTTGGCGAAATCTATGCGCACGATCCTGACGAAGGACCGAACGCCGTCGTGCAATATTCCGTAATCGGAGGTGAAGATTCGAATAGTTTCGCTCTTAATATTAGACCCGGAGCGGATCGAGCGGAACTGATCACTTTGGAAGAACTCGATTACGAATCGCCGAAAAAGAAATTCGAATTAGTCGTGCGCGCTGCTTCACCTCCATTGAGGTCGGATGCTCTGGTCCAAATTCTCGTCACCGACGTGAACGACAATGCGCCCGTGTTGAAGGATTTCCAAATTATATTCAACAATTTCAAGGACTTCTTTCCGACTGCTCCTATAGGAAAAATACCTGCAGTCGACGCGGACGTCACTGACAAGTTGACGTACACGATACTCGCCGGAAACAACGCGAATTTGATCGAGTTGAACAGAACCACCGGTGAAATCAGACTGTCGCCGCAATTAAATACAAACGTGCCACGCGTAGCGACGATGGAAGTATCCGTCACGGATGGCATCAACGATGTTAAGGCTACCATGACTCTCTCCGTGCGGTTGATCACCGACAAGATGCTCTTGAACTCCATCACCGTTCGACTCGATGATATGACCGCCGAAGCTTTTCTCAGCCCACTCTTGGGATACTTTTTGGACGGATTAGCCGCGATTATTCCCTGTCCCAGGGAGAACATCTTTGTGTTCAGTGTTCAAGAGGACGCGAACGTGAACGGGAAGATCTTGAACGTGAGCTTCTCCGCGCGGAAGGTCGAGCCGGGTGTAACCGACGAGTTTTACAGCCCACAGTTTCTTCAGGAACGCGTCTACTTGAACCGAGGTATATTGGCGAGATTGGCTACGGTCACCGTGTTGCCATTCGACGACAACCTCTGCGTGAGAGAGCCCTGTTTGAACTTCGAGGAGTGCCTGACGGTGTTGAAGTTCGGGAACGCGTCCGGCTTCGCAAGCAGCGACACCGTTTTATTCAGACCGATATATCCGGTGACTACATTCGCGTGCAGATGCGCGAAGGGCTTCACCGGCAGCAAGGAATCTTATTTATGCGACACGGAAGTGAATTTGTGTTACTCTAATCCCTGCATGAACGGGGGCACTTGTTACAGAAGGGAGGGTGGATACGCGTGCGTTTGTAGCCCTGAATTTGCTGGAGAGAACTGTGAAATCTCGTTAGATAAAGACTCCTGCGCACCAGGAATTTGCAAGGGAGGGTCACAGTGTACGATTAAAACTACGGGAGGTTTCACTTGCGAAGGTTGCCCCGTTACCACGTTGGAGAACGTGACGCCGCTCTGCGAACTGAAAGCTCGCAGCTTCGGACGCGCAACGTTCCTCACGTTCGCTTCACTCAGACAGAGACACAGACTGCATATAAAATTAAGATTCGCCACCGAAGCGACCAACGGTCTTCTGCTCTACAACGGGCGATACAATGAGAAACACGACTTCATAGCTTTGGAAATAATCGACTCCCAAGTACAATTCAGCTTTTCCCTTGGCGACGAGATCACTCGGGCGACTGCCAGCGTGCCTGACGGAGTTTCCGATGGCCAGTGGCACGAGGCAGAAGTTTCCTACATAAACAAGACCGTGACGATTTCTCTGGACAACTGCGACGTCGCTTTGGCTTTGGAATACGGCGAACGACTCGGTGCGAGATGGTCCTGCGCGGCGCGGAGCGAGCAAGTGCTAGAGGAACGTTGCAGCATCGTCACCGAAACGTGCCATCGATTTCTAGACCTAACCGGGCCGCTGCAGTTAGGCGGGCTACCTGCTATACCTTCCAGCTTTCAGATCAGAAACAAAGACTTCGTCGGTTGCATCAGCGACTTATATATCGATCATATTTTCATCGATTTGAATTCTTTCGTAGCCGACAACGGTACGAACCCCGGTTGCCCGGAAAAGGCTTCGTTCTGTTCGTCGACGCCATGTAAGAATAACGGAAAATGCCGGGAAATATGGTCCGGGTTCACTTGCGAGTGCGAAGAGACCTTCGGTGGACCTACCTGCACCGATGAAGTCGGCAAGCCGTGGAGTTTCAAGGGCGACGGCATGCTTAGTTTCAACCCTCTACTGAGACCGATACAGCTGCCTTGGTTGACGGCTCTTAGCCTGAGGACGCGCTCGAAGCAGGCGTTCCTGATGAGCGTGCAGATCGGACAGAACAGCTCAGCGCTGCTCGAGATTCGCGAAGGCAAGCTGGTGGCACTGTTGGACGGCGCGGACATTATACAAACGTGGAACAACGTCGCCGACGGTGAGTGGCACAGGATAGAGATCCTCTGGCAAAGCGGGCACGTCTCTCTAGACATCGACTATCGAAACCGACCCGTGTCCTCCCCATTGCCAGCGAAGCTGCAGGGTCTGTACGTCGGTAGGATCCTCGTAGGTGGACCGGAACAATCAGCGAACACCGAACTGCCATCGTTCGACGGATGCCTTCAAGATATTCGCATCGGCACCAACCAAAGCGTGCTCCAGCGACCGACCGTTCAAGAAAACGTTGCAACCGGATGTAGCTCGGAGACCGAGTGCAACGCCGACTGTCCGGACGCATCGATCTGTTTGGCTAAGTGGCAGGCCAGCGAATGCGTTTGCGCGGCTGGTCGCGTCGGCCGCGACTGCGAACGTGTCTGCGATTTGAACCCTTGCAACAACACCGGAATTTGCATCGAAGATCCGACTTCCCGAAGAGGATATCGATGCGAGTGCAACTCTCCGGAGTACTCCGGAGATTACTGCGAGGTAAAGGCGGATCAACCTTGTCCGGCGACCTGGTGGGGTTCTCCCGTTTGCGGGCCGTGCCACTGTGACGAGTCTAAGGGCTACGATCCCGCGTGTAATAAAACAACGGGCGAGTGTTACTGCAAGGAGAATCATTATCAACCTTCCGGGAAGAAGGAGTGTATTCCTTGCGAATGTTACGCGACGGGAAGCTTCGGTCCGAGATGCGACACCGAGACGGGCCAGTGCCGATGTCGAGTAGGCGTAATCGGACGATCTTGCACCGCGTGCCCTAATCCCTACGCCGAAGTTACACTTCGCGGTTGCGAGGTAGTTTACGATGGGTGTCCCAGATCTTATGCCGAAGGCTTGTGGTGGCCGAGAACCAAATTCGGAATGACCGCGGTCGAGGACTGTCCGGATATGGCAGAGGGGAAGACGTCTAGGTCCTGCGATGACAAGTTAGGCGGCTGGCAGGAACCCGATCTGTTCAACTGTACGTCAGAAGCTTTCATCGAGCAAAGACATCAATTGTCCGCGTTGGAAACAAAGGATTTGACTCTAAACACTTATGTAGCTGTTAAAATTGCGAAGGATTTGCACAGGGCTATGAACGTGACGAAGGAATTGTACGGCGCCGATCTGTTAATAGCGGAATCGTTGTTGGTTGTCTTGCTGCGGTACGAGGAAAGTTTGATTGGATTGAATTTAACTCACAGCCAGGACAGAGACTACGTATCCCACCTGGTCGGAATTTCCAGTAACATTTTGAAGTCTAAGTATTTAGAGAAGTGGTCTAGAATCGAGACTCTCAATGGAGATACTCCTGACAAGGTTTTGGATGCAATGGCCGATTATTTGGAGATCTTGACCGCATCTCAACACGATACCTTTACAAATCCTTTTGAAGTAGTCGATAACAACGTTGTACTCGGCTTGGATATAGTGACTTCGGAAAGTTTGTTCGGATACGAAACGGCGGAGTACGTGGAAGATCTGTCGGCGTCGACGGCTCGACCAGGCGAAGCGGATCAAAAGGTCGTGATACCGGATACTTCCGCGTTTCTCTCATCGCCTACGCCCTTCGGCCCATCGATCTCTTTCCCCAAATACAACAACTACATGGCCGATCCAAACAGATTCGACCCATACTCGAAAATACGAGTACCCCTCAGCGTGTTAGGCATTAAATCACCGTTGCAAGGAGAATTAAACGTGAAGAAGAGTTTGGTCAATCGGAAAGCTGTGCTGAGTTACGTACAATATAAGCAATTAGGTGTCCTGTTGCCTCAAAGATTCGATGACTCGGTGACGGTTAGATGGGGCGTGGAAGTGGCGGTTGGTTCTCCAGTCGTGACGGTGTCCGTCTTAGTTCCCTCCGAAACCGGTTACGAGTCATTGACCGGGATCCCTCTACAATCCCCGGTCCAAATCAGCCTCTGGCTCAGCGAGAGGGACGAGCTGAAGACGAGAACCAACCCGCAGTGCGTCCACTGGAGCACAGCTAGAGGAGCCGGCGAATGGAGTCGAATGGGTTGCACGACGGAAATCGAGGATGACTCTTTATCGTTCGGCAGCATCGTCAACTGTTCCTGTCTTCAACTATCCACTTTCGCGATACTAACGGACGTACTCGACCCAGAATACGTTCCAGAGCCGTCATTGCTAGAAGACGTGACGAGCTATAGCGCGTTTATGCTCGCGTTACCCTTATTACTATCTGCATTGCTCATCCTGGGTTTGATCCGTGGAGGCGGTACCAATTCGAACAGCATACACAAGAACTTGGTAATGTGCGTCTTCTTCGCTGAAGTGCTGTATCTGATCGCGCTCAAAGCCAGAAGTCCTCTAGTCTCGAACGAGTTCCCGTGCAAACTAACTGCGATCGGCTTGCACTACGCCTGGTTAAGCACATTTTCTTGGACGCTGGTCGACTCGATTCATCTCTATCGAATGTTGACCGAAATGAGGGACGTTAATCACGGACAGATGAGGTTCTACTATACTATGGGCTACGGCGCGCCGGCGATTATAGTCGGATTGACGATCGGAGTACGGGCCGATCAATACGGAAACTTTTATTTGTACGTATTTATTCTTTTAAACATAATACTGTATGTAGTATAGCACTTCGTACGATTATTACAATGCGATAAATTGGATAGTCATTCATGCCCAATTTTGACCACTCTTTTCTTCAAATAATTTATTCTTGACCGTCTACTTCTATTACATCACTCTCAGTTACTTTTATGTTTTATTTTTCCATTTTATATATGTCATCTTAGTTTTATGTTTGATTTTCATTTTGTTTTATTAGTGTATATCAATGGGTTTTAAAAACCCGTGCATAAATTAATAAATAATAATAAGTATTTTATGATATTTGCTGTTTCAGCTGCTGGTTATCAATTTACGAAACTGTCATTTGGTCTCTGATAGGACCGATCTGTCTCGCCGTTTTCGTCAACTTCTGCATTCTCGTGATGTCGATCCGCGCAGCTTTCACGTTGAAGGAGCATATAATGGGTTTCGGGAACCTGAGAACACTTCTCTGGTTATCCGTAGCTTCCTTGCCGTTGCTCGGATCCACGTGGACGTTGACGGTTCTGAACGCGTCCGAAAATTCCCCGACATTATCGTATCTGCTCAGTATAGCGGTAGTCGTTCACGCGTCTTTCAGTTTAGTCGGCTATTGCTTCATCAACGGCAGAGTGCGACGGAATTTATATTTAAGCTTGTTGAGATGCATCGGGAAGAAGACGCCGCTTTTAGAAGGCAGCATGGGAAACGGAAGCAGTAGTCAAAATGTAAATGGCCACTCGGTACGTTAAATAATTATGAAAAATGAGGGCGATATCTTTCTGACAAATAATTTTACAGCGATCCGCGTTGGCGTATTCGTCGACGTATAGCGGTGCCGAATCCGTGTGCAGAAGAGTCCACGTAGGAGTTTCGACGAGCAGCACAACTTCAAGAAGTACAAATAAGACTGGGTCGAGTCCCTATCGCAGCGACGCACATTTGAGGCACACCTCTACTTCCACGAGCAATTACAACAGTGATAGAGATCCGTACATGTCCTCTAGGAGTCATCGATCGACGATGCACTCTAGGCAAGGTATTAATTAGATTGAAATAATCCTTTTCCTTATCTAACATTCCAATTCCCCTAATTACTCCATAGTTTTTGTCATTTCTCTGTTTAAGTGTAAAGTATCATAAGTTTGTCACACTTCTTTTTGTTTTCCTTTGTACATTTTAAAGGGCTTATGCTCGTTAATAAAGTAATAATTGTAATAATAATAACATTTACCTGTATCGAACCCGAAGAACCGACAGAGCCAAGGAATCAGCGTAGAGATTCGGAATCGGATTCGGACGGGTCTCAGGCGGAGGGTGGCGGGAGGAGTTTGGATCTGGCGAGTTCACATAGCTCCGACGAAGAGGATGTCACGTCGAGGTCGCATAGAAACATGGGCGTCTCGACGCAGCAACCTGTTGCGCACAGTTATCTACCCAACATTCATAGCAATCCCACCGAACACTTGAACATACTTTGCTCAAACACGGAACTATTTCCGAACATTAAACCCATATACGCGCCTAGATGGAGTTCTCAATTACCCGAAGCATATTTGTCAGCAAACGGTAAGCATTTTTATACGAAAATTGGAAATAAAACTTAATAATTCTTATCTTCCGTTGGGAAAAATTCTCGTCCCAACTCGACCCGAAGTTTTCGGTTTCTCGTATATCTCTAGTAAGCATACATTTTTCGCGATTTACGAATTGTAATTAAATTTGTACAGTGATGGATGTGCGCGGTAGCCAATGGTCCGGTGGCACCATGTCCGACAATGAGATGGCTTCGAACAAGACCTCCAGCCCGAATCCACTGCCTTATCCCGATATGAATTCACCGCAGAAGAGTCAGCCGGATGAGAATTATTCAGAAGGCGAAGAGAAGCTTCATCACTTAGGAGAGAAGTACCTGTTCCCGTACACGGCCGAGGAAGATCACACAGTCTCGCCCACTCCGTACATGCTACCTATGTCTTCCCGAATTCTGGCGTCCAGCATGAGCCATCATTCACAAAATTCGAACCACGACAACATGAGCGGTTCGGAGAGGTACGGGAGCTTGAAGAGGGGGCAAAGTTTGCACGGGTCGCACAACGAGAATTTGAGCGGTTCCGAGAGATACGGTAGCTTGAAGCGCGGCAAGATCACTCCTACTGTACTTGAAGATGCGCCGGAGTATATCTTGCCAATGAGCGGCAGAATACTGTCGAGCTCGTTGACCCACGATCTACAGCACAGCAATGAATTGGCTGCTCTTCGGCAACAACAGCAGCAGCAGCAACAGCAGCAATATGAGCAGACTATCACGGAGACCGAGTAAGTACTACGATGACTCCCGGGCATATTTTAACACGGAATAATTTTTTAATATTGGACCAAACAACTTAATCTTCTGTGTCTTAGTTTACTAGAAATTTTATTCAATTTTTTGTTATATATTGTATAATAAACCAGGTCTTCTAACATCCTAAAGAAAATGAAGTTTGATCTAATATTAAGAGTTATTCTATTTTGAAGTGTGTCCGAATAGTAATGGAAGTCACTGAATACCGCGACAAATATCTATTTATACATGACTAACTTTACTCTTTCCTTCTAATTTACGCTTGCTTTGGAAATTAGCGAGGAGGTAAGCGTTTATGGGAATATCGTCTTTGAAAAGTCGCGTTAAATGCTTTATTCCATCATCTCCGACGAGTCGTACTTCTAAAAAAAGAGAGTTTAACGAGTGGTTTGCAATGATGCTGTTTCAGGAAGGATACTAACGCGGAAACGTCAGTATGACGAGGCTCCGTGGTACAAACAGACACCGTACAAAGTAATATAACGTACTATTAGCTTATTAAAGATTTCAAATGAATTAAATATAAATATAGATTATATATATATATTACTTAGAGCCGGGTAAGTGCTCTAAGGTATATTTTAAGAGCGGCCATGACTGTACTTACGATGTTAGCCATATCAGTTGGTACGTACGTGTGAGTGCCTGTACGTATTTATATACACGCGTACGCTTGTGTCGGTATATTTCGTTTCGTGTGCGACGTCAGGCCTCGGCGCCGAGGCGAATCTTCCGATTTCTCTGTTGACCGCAATTTTTTTATTAACGACAGACGGGTCGGAAGACAAATGATCTCTAGTTCGTTTCATCGTTCGTTTAACTAGCATCAGTTTCTTCTAGTACCTTCATTTCTCGACTCAGTATTGTGCAATTGGTGCATTCCATTTTTCTCGTATTTAGTCCTTTCATTTTCGACGAAGTTTATACATTTTTATACATGCCATGGAAGAATCGTACAACTGTGCAGCGGAATTTTCATAGTTTTGTATATATTTATATGAAAAAGAATGTGACAAAATACATAATTTATATATATCCTTCATCCACCGATCTATTCACGTCCTGTTTATCTTACCGTTGCTTTTCCTATTACCGTTTCTCTTTCTCGTGTCAATAGATTTTATAGAACGCTCGAGTCTGCCTCGGATTAAGTCTCGTTGGTAAAAATTAGCTTTATTCTCATCGAAAATATAAATAAATTACAAAATACAGTTAAAGTAGTATTCGGAAGATCATCGCATTTAACGTAAAGATCGGAACGGCATCGTACACGACGATGTCGAGCGCTACCAGACAGTCGACTTCCGTTCGAATGAACGGAAGAACACGGTAAGGGTAAGTAATGGCGCGACCGTGAAACGTTAATTACTGAATGATAGTCATGTTGGTCGACCTCAGCCTTTCGGTACCGTGTTTTCTACTAAGATACGTTATACACGGTGATGTCGAGTTACGCAATAGAAGATTTCATTTCGATTATTACAGAGTTCTCTTACGCAAAGATATATAATTTGTATGTATGTATACGTCGATGTGCGGATATCAAATGCCTCGGTGCTCGAACATAAAAATAGGAGAACAGACCAAGCGTCCAATATACACTATTTGTGAAGCTTTGCTAATTTAAAAATTTCAAACTTGCCCTCAGATTTTAGCACTCTCTGTCGTAGGAGTGTAACAAATTAAAAATCTGTGCTTGATTTGATGCTGAGTAATCATCTTCCAAACTGGGGCAATTTTCGATACTCGTGATGCCATAATGTCTTTGTAAAGGATAGAAAAAACATACTTTCGATCAGTTTTTGACTCTCTTTCACAAGCAAATAGAAAAAGAAACTTTGCTATTCATTTTCCTTTCTCTCAATCGGCTGATCGGACGTCTTCCATTTGGGCGATAGTCAATTCTCATATCTCTATGTGCTGGAACCGCTTAGGATATGACACAGGCACATCGCGGATAATCGGTACGACTAGCGACTAGGAGATTCGTCGTTGCTACACGGTGCTCTCAGTGTCGGAAGCCATGGATAACGTTTGCATCTTTGGCACCGAGTAATTCTCCGAATGAGCGTGCGACTGCGACCGATTCGACACTCTTTCCAAAGTCGACGGCGCTGATGGTGTATCCTGATGCGCCTTCGGCGGTATCGGTGGCGGATTCACCTGAAAACGATCAATCACTCTCTTTTCCCACTACTCAAACCACCGTTAATAATTTATATAGTCGTTGAAAATTCACCTCTTGACTCGGCAACGAATGGGTGCCCTGGAACATGCCGCTCGCGAAATTCCCCGTCGAAACGTTGAGCACGTTTATTACGGACGGCGGTGAAATATTCATGATATCATTACACCTCGTTCGCGGTTCGAAGTCCTCATAACCGAGGTTATTTAAGTTAGTCAAATGCGACTGGAAATCTAATAAACTCGCCGTTGATATACCGCTGTCGCGAAGGTCATTCGGCTCGTTTTGCGCTTCCGAGTCGTCGTCCGTGCTCCATTCTGTGTTACGTTTATAAGTTAAACGTTTCGGCGGCGCGGGTGGCACGGTATTCGTATTCGAGTCTCTCTTGTCCGGTGCTGAAACATTATCGTTTATAATCATATTCATTATCATTTCGGATTTGTTGTCGAACAATTTTGCAAGTTGCGGCTGGTTTATGGGCCAATTTCAAATTTTTCCATTCCCCGCATGCAACTGCATTAACACTTTATGTGGAACTTACTGCAACCTCTGGGCGGCAACGGAGGAGCCGGCTCTGGACCAGGCTCACTCCACGAGGTTCTCAAACCGGTCTGATCGACACCGTCCGTCGGCGTCGGCAAAGAATGTCGCAGCGGTAACTTCGGGCTCAAGGGTTTACTTAGAGATCTCTGATGCGTGGGTCTGGGTGGAGTTGTCCCGTAACCCACTGACCGAGGCCGCACTTCTCGTTGCGGAATCGGAGGTGGTCCGCCGTCGACTCTAGTGTAGAAACCCTCGTCTTCTGGCAGACCGTCGCTGTCCGCGTGAGAGGATCTAGAGCCGGCCGTTTCTAACGTGGCTGGTCGCTGCCTTTCGTTAACGGGCAACGGTGGTAACGGGGAACTGAGGCAAGGGAAATAGTCAAGCAACTTCCTAATCGATATTGTCCTAGATATCATAGCCTGGTTTCGATGTCATAAAATGTATATTTACTTGACGATGCTGTCTTGGTGAACAGTCCGTTGCCTCGCTAAGGGGCCGAGGCCCTGCTTCAACTGTGTGAATCTCTCGATCAGCCTCTTGTGCAACGGTTGCACACCAAGCGGTGCGATCTGTCCATGTAAATTCAGTCCGGCCTCTAGAACACTCATCTGATCAAGAATCAAACCCTTCAGTCTGTTCACGTGCGGCACCATATCCGGATTCTGTCTAGCGAATTCGGGAGTGAGAAAGGCTTCTTGGTACTTTGTGATACCACCCATCACGTTTGCGTCGATGATTCCCTGAAGTCGCATACTAAAAGGATTAATGTTTCGATGTGGTTCGGCAGTGTACTGTGCGACAAGCCTCCTCAGCTCGCGTTCCACGCTTTGCATAGTCTCGCAAGCGTACTGTACAGGCGCCAACAACTCGGATCTCTTCTCGATCACCTCGAACCATCTAAGTATACCAGGCAGCTTTGCTTCGGTGGTTAGCGTGGTTCTCTCGATCCAAAGAGACTTGAACTCGTTCTCGCGATCGACGGGGCCTCTGTGAAGCGGTCGATCGAATATAAACTTTCGGACATCGTTCACTAAGTAGAACGCGACCACTCGTTCCGGCACTTCCGCCCCTCGGCAGGCTAGGCTACTTTCTTCCGGGATCGGTTTCACGTTACATATTTGTATATCTGGAAAAAATGACCAAGCAGTTGTTGGCATCGTTCATATAGTAAATGCCCCAATTTCTACTCATTAGTTTATTATTATATGGTATTTATTAGTTATTTTACATTGTCCCTCGGAAGTAAGGATGCTCTCGTCGGGCGGAGAGTTCTTCATCAAAATTTGTGCGCTTGGAAATTCAGTCTGAAGTCGTTGTGTGAACGCCCCTATTCTTTCGTACTCTAGACCGCGATAAATGAACAGCTTATTCTGAAAATTTGCAAAATTTAATCTCGAACAACGTCCTTTCATTACTAAGGAAGTTATTCAATTTTAAAGAGTGTTGGTTCAATTTTGCCCTTCGGTATAAATGCTTACCCTAACGAAGAGAGGGAAACTAAGCCCGTAGAAGCCTACTCTAAAATACTCTGGTTCTGGTCGAAGTTGCGTGAGTATGTTGTCCAGGAACTTGGCTTGCAACTTCAACACGTGACTCAGTTTTGCGTAATCGTACAACCTGGTCTCGTATAATACTGCCAGCTCCTTGCAAAGGGGAATGCCCTTTTCCCAACACTTGCCCCTGTCCAAGTAGTGAATTATTTTGTGATAGAGGACTTCCTTCCTCTGCCATTCTGGCTGTTGGGGGTGTGCGTGATCCGGCGGTAAAATCGTTGAGCCCCAGCCAAGCTGGTCGGCGTAAAGCTTCATCGTGAACCCGGCTTCCGTATAATTCTCCGCGGCCAAGTGAAGATCGTGAAGCTTGTAGATGTAACGCAGGTACATCTCCTTTCGATTAAATTCGTTCTTATAAAAATTCTGCAAGAAAAGAAGAATTGTTATCGACCCTGTCTATATTTCTAATTTAAACGATATTTTCAAAGATAAAAGAGGAACTTTAAGGATGTATTGGCTATACAGTCAATCCCAAAAGTTTATGCACTTTAGAAACGCATTTTTTAAAAAGAAATCAGACGTCGGAAGAATATTGCTAATAATAAACA